TGATTCTGTGATTCACTCTTTGTTCAGCTAAACATCTGGGTACAAAAGCTGTTCTAGATAATGCTCCGATGTTTCCATTTGCCCTTCATTTAAGCATGCATAATGTGTCATCTGCTTAATGAACAGCAACTACTTCCCTCAGAAACAGCTTATTTTCTTTCTGTATATTAAAAAAAAAAAAAAAATTCCATCAGACTAAATTAAAATATCATTGGAAGATTTTAAAAGTCAAAGCCCTTGCTAACACTGTGTACTGCTGGAAAATATCTGGAACACAGTGTCCAGCAGGTGTAGAAGCCAACCTTGTTGCCTCCCACCGAAATGTGTTAGCCTTTCTGCCGACATCCACAACTTGCTTGAGCTGCTGTGGCTCAGAACGTCACATACCTGCCACATCAGTAGCAACCAGTATCGGGATGCCCTTTTTCTTAAATTCCGAAATTACTTTATTCCTCTCACTCTGGTCCATGTCACCATGAAGCAGCCCCAGATTATGATCCTCCTGCTTAAGGTTATTGGCCAGCTCTTCTGCATTTGCCTTCTTGGTGACAAACAGGAGGACGCTCCCAGAAGATGTGAACTCCACGAGGCGTCGAGTCAGCCAGTTCCATTTGCTAGGGCCGGAGGGGAAGATCTCTACAATCTGAGTTACATCTTCATTTGCCTAAGGGGAGAAATAAGATGAACAATAAGGCAGGAGAGAAAGGACAGCATGGTAAACAAACACAGACAGCAGAATAAAACGAGGAAATCAAACTAGGTGTGAGAAGCGCGGGACCAAGATTCTCCTCTGAAAGAGGTTTCAGCTTTGTCTAACTGTTGACTGCTTTATCTTCACAGTGCAGAAAAGGCAGGAGTTTAATGCCCTACAGATTTCAATGCTCTTCAACAGACACTATTAACACCTAAAATGGACTGTGCAAGAGCAGGGTGTGAGGGGGAGAGGATGCTCATCAGTAAAACAGTGTCACACGGTGATCGGAGGAAGTACCCCTGTACTCAGGTGTCCTCTGAGTCAGGAAGAGGGGAGGTACAAACACTCCTATACACTCAGTATCAAATGTAGTAACAAGGCAGTGGAGCACACAGCACTACCTGGAAGTTTCTCTGACAACTTTAATTTTTACACCTTTAAATATTAGTGATTTCAAGGAAGATGCTCTCACGGTACAATAATAATTTAGATTGAACAACGGACACCCTGTGATTGAGCTAGGAAAGGTGCTTCTTTTCTTAAGCAGTGTTTAGAAAAAACGTTTTCCCAGAAAGAAGGGGCTTCAGGTAACCATTATTTTTTTTGTTAGAACGAGATTATCTCCCATTCCTGATTGAAAAAATAAGTAAGAAGTGCAGAGAACTGGTTAAAAGAAGAATGTTCCGAAGGCATCTTATGTAATTTCTCAAGTTTTCATCTATTATTATAAGCAAAGTTTCTTCATAGCAAGTATGTATCTGCCCACTTCATCAACTTAGTACTAAACCCCTCATCTGCTAATTGTTCAGCTGCTGCTGTCAGGCAAATACAGAACCAACATGCCCAAGTAAACCAGCCAAAAGACACTACAGTCTCGGTATAACCTACAGTCTAACTTTCAAATCCTTCATTACAAAAGCTGTAATTTATTTAGCGTTTTGAGACAAAAAATATACCCATTATTGCAGCCTAATAATAAAAAATAATCAATCACTGCATGAATGTTGGTTCACTCCTCAATGAAATCTCCCATCAGTACAAGATGTTTGGTGGCAGACGGGAAGCACATTAAATTAAAAAAACCCCAAACCATAACCTTATTATTTTTTGTTAAGCACAAGGTATTTACTCTTACACGTAAAGGATGACTACTGCAGTTTAACATAAATTTCAGACAAGAGAAGGGTTCACTTCTCCAACTGTCTCAGAAGTAAGGAATTACCTCTCCAATGTCTCCCTGCACAACTCGAATTGGGTCAATCAGAATATCTCGAGCCAGTTTCTCAATCTTCTTACGGAAAGTGGCACTGAACAAGAGGGCTAAAAGAAAAACAGCACTTGAACCCCTCCAAAGACACATTTTCTTTAACACAGACCTGAACAACTGTATGAGATGTCAGCGATCTGAAGCTACAGTCTGTTTTAACAGTTCTAATGAAAATTATTTATCACGGTATTAGAACCACAGAAGGGTTGGGGTTGGAAGGGACCTTAAAGCCCATCCAGTCCCAACCCCCCTGCCATGGGCAGGGACACCTTCCACTAGACCAGGTTGCTCCAAGCCTCATCCAGCCTGGCCTTGGACACTTCCAGGGATGGGGCATCCACAGCTTCTCTGGGCAACCTGTCCCAGTGCTCCCCACCCTCTCCGGGAAGAATTCCTTCCTGATGTCCCATCTCCATCTCCCTCTTTCCGTTTAAACCCGTTACCCCTTGTCCTGTCTAATCCCTCAAAGTGGAAACACACTTCATGGCATCTCAAACAAGATGTGGACAGTAAGTGGCACTGCTGTGACCATTCTTTCATGGCAGCTTAGAACACAGGATCTCAAAGCATATTAACATTAATTCAGCTAATCATCTTTTCCCCGAGTGAAGTCTGGGAGGGGATTACAGACTGATAAACAAACACAGGTATTTAACCACGGTCACAAGTGCTCCCCCCAACAGCCCACCCTGGGATTTAACACCGGCGGACCCTTGCTCATTGCGTGGCTGTCAGGAGATCCAATCTCTGTTCCAGACCCTTCGCTGGTAGCCCCAGCCGAGCCTCCTTCGACGCTCAGGAGCTTAGCTGGAAATGTGCTTATACTTACTCTGTCTGTCAGGACGTACGTGGCTTGCAATTGATCTGACCTGATATTCTGGAAAGGAAAGGGAAAATATTCTAATCAACTCTGTACGCTCATTATTTAGTAGAGTAACTCAAAATGCAACTTCATTGCTTTATTTACCAAGTAACCATAGCATGAGTGAGTGCCTCTCCCGCAGTATTCACTCTTACACTGTGACTTCCAGGTGCTCTTTGCTGCACAATGGAAGTTCCTTTGCTGTACAAAGAAACTGCTGGAAGTTCTTTCAGCAAGAAGCTGCGTAAGCAAAGATCCTAGCTGAGTCTGTGCGTACCCTGCACGTCCCACAGCTGTCTCCTTCCACCTGCGCTACTGTCAGGTCTTTGCTACGTGCTTTGCTTGAGCATATACTCGAAATCATCCAGAGCTGAATGACCACAACCCTCCCAAATGAGCAGGAATTCTTTGAACACCCCTCGTCCGTACGCACAGAACAAAGCACAGAAGCGACTTGTCCGTAAGTTGCTCAGCAACTCTAAGATAAAAATCCATGTCTTTTCAACTTCACCACCAACAGAACTTTGCTGATCTCTCTATGGCAACAGACGTTAAGACTGTGAAATATGACTTTTGGCTGTAAAGTATTTCCTTAATGTATTTTCAAGTATATGAAGGTAGGGGGGTTATAAACAGTCCTACAAAGCTGGGAACCAGACACCATCGCTTTCCAAAACAGGGACCTTTGTTCATTACATACCAAAGCCCATATCAAACATTCTGTCAGCTTCATCAAACACCAGGTAAGTGACTCTTTGAAGGTTTGTAGCTTTCTTTTTCACATGATCAATTAAACGACCCTATTAAAAAAAAAAAAAAAAAGAAAAAGCCAAGTTTTTAAAGCATACTTGAAGAAATGATAATATATGCAACTTTCAAGGACTTAACTGCTTTTTATCCTCACTTACCCGAGACTCAGAACAGAAAACATCTCAAAGCCTCACTCTAGAGCTAAGTGCCAGTATTCAAGTCACAGAGGCAGATTCCTGAAACTCTCATCAACTACATTTGACAAGCTGAACGTTAGGCCAGGGTTTTCAAGGTTAACAGTGCTGGGATCCTAGTCTTCATTACAATTAAATTTTAATTGTGAACTGGCTACTTAATCCCGTAATATTTGGTGCAGTTCTTCATGCTTCGTTTTCTTGCTGCGTACCCTAATATAGCCACAATAAATCTTCCTCCAACCATCAGTTGCTCAGTTTTGCCCAAGTTCATAACTAGTTTTTGCAATGAGCAAAGTCAGTTGACAACAATGCTCATGGTTCAGCACCAACACCCACTCTAATTCCATGTTTCAACCTTTCAGTGTTACTGCCACAGGCTCTACACCGACTCAGAAGATACCACTCAAGCTCATGACATCCTGGGAATTTTCTTCATGAATTCAAGGCTCAGCAATCAGGAGCTGGTACAGCACACAACTAACACTGACTCAAGTGCATCTTGCTTGCTACTCTGTCTTCTATTGGAAATCATATCCTGAGGTATGGAGCCCTGGGGAGAAGGACTTGGAGGTACTGGGGGATAAAAAGCCGGCCATGTGCGCTGGCAGCCCAGAAAGCCAACCGTATCCTGGGCTGGATCCAGAGCAGCGTGGCCAGGGGGGCGAGGGAGGGGATTCTCCCCCTCTGCTCTGCTCTGGGGAGACCCCACCTGCAGTTCTGCATCCAGCTATGGAACCCTCAACATCACAAGGATATAGACCAGTTGGAGTGAGTCCAGATGAGGCCACAGAGATGATCTGCTATGGATAGCACCATATAGCACCTCTGCTATGATGAAAGGCTGAGAGAGTTGGGCTTGTTCAGCCTGGAGAAGAGAAGGCGCCGGGGAGACCTTATAGCCCCTTCCAGTGCCTGAAGGGGCTACAAGGAAGCTGGGGGGGGCTTTTTACAAGAGCCTGTAGTGACAGGACAAGGGGTGGCGGGTTTAAATTGAAAGTCGGGAGGTTTAGATTGGACATCAGGAAGAAATTCTTCCTGCAGAGGGTGGGGAGCACTGGGACAGGTTGCCCAGAGAAGCTGTGGATGCCCCATCCCTGGAAGTGTCCAAGGCCAGGCTGGATGAGGCTTGGAGCAACCTGGTCTAGTGGAAGGTGTCTCTGCCCATGGCAGGGGGGTTGGAACTGGATGATCTTTAAGGTCCCTTCCAACCCAAACCATTCTATGATTCTACCCAATCTCTTTCAATTCCTTTTGGGACACAATCCCAGCATATTTGCTCTCAACATCCCATACCCTGGAAGAACCTACATTTCAGTGATGGGAGAACAAATCCTGCATCACCAATGGTATTAAAAGTCTGTCTCAGCTTCAGCTGAGCAACAGAAAACCCCATACTGTGTGCATACAGGTACTTACCGGTGTGCAGACAACTATCTCTGCGCCCTCTTGGAGGGCTTTGGCTTGCTCCCACATGCTGCCTCCTCCATACACAGCTACAGAGCGCAGATTATATGCCTTTCCAAAGCGCTTACATTCAGAATGGATCTGGGAATTTTAAACAAAGCACATCACAGTTCACATTAAACAGATCTGAGAAAATACACCTACCTTGCAAATACTGTCCAGGTCCTGAAATCCACTTTTCAGCTAATAACGAAATCCTCAGGGCTGAATACTTCAATACTTGTGGATAATTTCTAATAATTTATTTGGGAAACCTATTTAGGCATCCAATTGTAATTTAACCTGTGTTATCCTTTCACATATACTTTTTGTGGCAATGCCTCCACAATATTCTTAATAATTAAAAGTAATATGGGAGCACTGTGCAAAAATTAACCATTTCAGATATGCCATGGTGGTTCAACAAAAGCAGGTGTAAGAGAGAACTGTGAGCTTATGTTGGAACACACTACTAACGCAGAGAGTTTTTTTTTTTCAAACAGTTTACTGAGTTTTTCTGGTAATTTCTGCCCAGAATTTTGTCCTCTTCCATAAGAACACTACATGGCACATCTATGCGTACACCTACCTGTTGGCAAAGCTCTCTGGTCGGGCATACGATCACTGCAATGGGACCATCCCCTGGTTCAAGCTCCTTTTGATCCATGATGTGAATCAACATCGGCCAGATGAAGGCTGCTGTTTTTCCACTTCCAGTCTTAGCGATCCCAATCATATCTCTGCCACTTAGTGCAACTGGAACACCCTAAAAATAAGGAGATTCTAAATCCATATTGTGCCTTCCATAGCATATTCTTGTGCTGGATATTCCAGGAAGACTCAGATACAAGAGAAAAGCACATTACAGAGGACTCATAGCAACATACGTTGATGCTTACACAGTTTTATTGCCAAGTTCAGATCCGTATTAGTTTGTTTTAAGGGCTGGAAGCCATTATCATGTTATGACTGTTCGTGTTCTCTATGAAAGCAATGTTTGGGCACAGTACCACAGCCCAAAGATATATTTACATGTCCACAAATGCATCTTGCCCAGCTGTAAGAATGCTAAAACCAAATTCTCTGAGCCTATTCTTTCTGCAACAATTCCAAGTGTTGCAGTCCTCAGTTCATCCCTACCGCTGCTGTGAGGACCTCTCAACCCCAGGTTTTTTACAAACACTATGGACTAAGGTCCTAGCACACATCCCTCGGACACAGCACCATGTCATTTTTTATACTCCAAGAAAAGCAGCTGAAGTGGTGTGGTTATAATCACATTACTGATAACCTAAATTACTTCTGAAGAAATAAAGAAATAAAGAATAAAGTTTATTTAAATAAAGTTGTCAGTGTAGGGCTCTTTATTCAGCTACTGCTATGGTTATTTTTACTATAATTTCTAAAAATATATTAAAAAAAACTTTCATATGTTTCTATAAGCAAGAGATGTCACTTCAATGTTCTTCAGTCTTCACTAAGAGAAAAATGGATTTATTTACTGTAGTCATTTGACAAGAAAAAAATGGGTAAAATGCTATTTAAAAAATATTAAATCTCTTTTCCTAAAAAACCCCGAATTATTCTTCTCTGTGCCAGCTCCATATAGGAAACTAGATCTGTACACACCCTCGGATGGACTAGGAACCTTTGCTCGTGTACTGTTAGTTCTCTTTAGACCTTAGAAAAGTAACAACACTCACCTGACACTGTATAGGAGTGGGCTGGGTATACTCGGATTTCCTAATTTGATGCATAAGTTGCTCATCAAACCCAAAATGAGCAAAACTACTGCCAGGCCTCGGAGGAGCAGCACCAGAGACCTTAGAAACAGAAACAGATCTTTGTTCATGAACAGTAAGAGAAAAACAGAGCAATCTGTACAAAAATGAAAGAAAGTATCTCTACCTCAGAAAATGCCTTTTTATTTTTTTTTTAACAGACATAAATTGAACTTATTGTGCAAATTCCAGATGTGTTGTGTAAATAGGACTTTCAGGTATAAAAATTTAGATAAATTGACAATGTACATAAGCTACCCAACATTTTATCTACCTCCTTGTGTAACTGGTCTCCTCCCCCCGCAAATAATTCCCTCCATAGAAAGGTGCCACGCTAACACATCACAAATGACAAAGAACTAGTTCTTGCTCATAAAGTTTCCCATTTCAGTTCCTAGCTCTTCAGCCCTAGTGCAAACATGCAGCTGCCAATCCAGACTGGTTTGTAAAAAGACCAGAGCAGAACTGCTGAGGAACACCAAACTCCATTAAATCCAAGTCAGTGAGGGTATCCAAGAGGTTTGGTGTGCAAAAACTGGAGCTCCCTGTGAAAGTCTTCCTACTAGGACAGTTTGTGACCAGCTTACCCGGAGATTTAGCTTATGACGTAACTCCACGACTTGCTGTGGGGGGAGACTGGTGATCTCCTCATGCTCATCATAGAAATTTTTCTCAAATGGTGGATATTCAATCTGCAATGGTAATTACTCAGTTAGTCCAGGGCCCAGGATTCTCTCTCTGTACACTTGGTTTGGAGGGAAAGGGTCCTTTGGAGAAAAAGCTCATTATTGGCAAGAACATTAGTTTAATATGAAGCCACTCGAAGGATCTTTAGTATGACTCACGTGGCACAAAACTGAAATATTACCTGCTGACATTAATGCACAGGGACAGAGGCATATTTCCACCTGCTTCTCAGCTCCTGCTCTCTAGAATGCCTCAGACAGAACAGAATGGAATAAAATTCCTTCCTACCTCTGAATGGTCAATCGGTGGAAGTGGATCAATGATTTTTTTGGACGGTGCAATCGGATTCCCATCACTATCATACTCCAGGTTATCCTCTTCCTCTTCCTGGACCACACCAGCAGTAGGGTTTTCAGCCATGTAGCGAAAATAAGCTTCCTGCAGCAAAACAGATTGGTAAAATCACATACAATAGGATGCAAAATACTTCTACATTTGTCTAAGTGAGGTATATGCTAGGTGGCTGTTTGCTTTCACACCCACCATCGAGGGGAAAAAACAAGTTCACTAGAAACTGATTCTTTTATTAAATACCAACAGTTACGTCCAGAAGGACAATAAGTACAAATGAAGAAGACAACTGAAGTGTCAGACCACAAAATGCTTTTAAAACCCAAACAACTTCTCTTACACGTCTGCTTAAGGACTCCTTCTATCAAGACTTGTTATGCTTTAACAACAGAAGAATCTATTCCCACGTCCACATGAACCAACGGTGCAGGTTTTTAAACAAAGAACACCATGTTGCTAAGATTATGATGTTTACATTCCTCTAAACACACTGTGCCAAAAATAGTTGCTCCACTTCCCCTAACTAGGCTCTGAGAAATTAAAATACACCTATTTTTCATTGAAAGAGTCAACAGCAAACGGTAAAGAGACTATTTCAGAAGAGTCCTTCAACACAGGCCCAACTCAGAAGTCACTGTCACCACTGTCACATGCCATCCTTACAGCTCACACATATGTCCGTGTTTCAGACTCTCACTGCCACACCCAGATATTCTCATGGAGAAAACACCAGTCTCACTTGACTTTCAAGCAAATATTTAAGACCAGATTTTTAAAGCAAGGTTCAATTACGAATAACTGTACATAATCACCTGGCTTTTTCATCTGCATGGCCAGTTATCACTCAGGCACACAGATAATTATCCAGTACACCTGATCAACAGCCATCTCCAAGTGTAAGTCACCCTTGCTCAAGCTTTAGCACAGCTACACTCACCAAACGAGAAGTAACGGCCTAGAGGCCAGACAACCCTCCCATGCTCTGCATGGGTGCACCTAACACAATAGTTACTAATTACAACTTAGTAGTAAGGTACATTTTGAAATGAAAGCTTTCCTCTTTGTTTATTATTTCTGTGATGCCAATAATCCTCAATCAGAACTGGAGCTCCTCTGAAAATAAAGAGCAAAAAGCCTGCTTCTTGCCCTTAACAGACACAAATTTCACTGCAAACGGCCTCCACAGTTTAACAGCCTCTCACTGGTGTTTCATGTTACTTGATTCTGCTATTTCAAATTTGATGAGACTCTCAGACACTGAAAAACCCCTACAGGAAGCTGAAGCTCAAATTGATGGAAAAAAATCTTCTTAAAGGGAATACAAAGTAATTGCTTCCTAATACTCTTCTTTTTTTAATGCAAACACCTAGAAGGGTAGAGACAGCAGGGTAACCACTAGAGCACCGGATACTGCACATGATACTGGAGTTTTGTTTGTACCTAGTAGTTATCTATCTGGGGAGGGAAGATAAAAAAAACCAAAACACCAAGAAGAAAGAAGATAGAAAGACTGCATAGGAACTCACTTGGTCATCTTCCTCTTCAATGTCATCTCGAATACCCCTGGAAAAACAAGCGGAGAAAAAAAAACTTCCCTGCAAGTGTTCCACATACTCAGCTCCATACTTTTGATGAGTGTTGAGCTCCTTATTTAGTGGAAGACACAACACCGACAACTCAGCAACATTTATAATCCCAACCCATGGATTATATTATATTTGGTGCCAACCATAACAGCGACCCTGCAAAGACTTCTGTATACTTCTATTAACGAGACTGAAAGATCAGGACTCCGTCTTCGCAGCAGAAGCCACATCAAAGATCATCCTGGTCTAAGCTCTCGATGCTATGGAAGTCCCATAACTGAAGAGGAATATGAGCCAGGAAGTGCAAATCCAGTTCAGAACTTCCCCAGGTGGCGATTTGGATCCGGTGTTCTGTGTCAGGACCATGCATAATCAGATCAACCCCATGCAATGCACGTTCTACCAATGTATCTGACATTTATATCGAGAATCGACAGCATAATTATTTTTCTTTGTCAAACAGATAAGCTGCAAAAATGTAAACTGTTTGTAAACTCCAAATTTAGTATCCCAATGGTCACAGGGTACCCAATAGATCAGTTTTGTAGGGAATGTCTTACAACCTAGTTCAAGATTGGAAGAATCTCCAGGGCTGCAGGTACAGCAGCGTCACATAAAAGCAATTTTAAACTAAACCATCCTGATCGCTGCAAGGGTGTGGAAAGAAGGAAAACTATTCAGGCAGATCTGGAAGGTGATAGTAGCACAATGTGCTGCCCCAGTTTGCATGGCCTAGAAAGGCTTTGTGCGTGAGAGAACTCTCAGTGTTGTCACATTTTATGGTAGGATGCTGCACGGATTCTTCCCTCCTATTATTCCGTTCTTATTGCACAGAACTTTACCTAAGGGGGATGTCATGTGCCGGTTAACGCTGCTTACTAGGTAGGTATTGTAATGTCTACAGAACAATCATCATCAACACAATGCATTGGAATTCTCTCAGCATAATGGGAATTATAAAAGAGAACTTACTTAGCGTTCTTTTTTTCTTTGTCTTTATCTTCAAGTCTCTTCATGTCTCGAGCAGCTTGATCCTAGCAGGTCACAAAATTATGACGTGTTAAAAAAACCAAGATGATAAAACATGGAAGGGCAAAATGTTCCTACATTACTAGACCATCATGCCACAGAGACAATACTTTTTGGACTAAACTCTCATCCCACACCCTATTATGTTAAATAAATTCTCCTACTAATACACTTGAAGTTTATGTACTGTAACTTCGTGGCATGTTGTTGGAAAAATACATTCTCCACATTCCTCCCGAAACCACTGTGACAGAATCCAGCTAGTAAACTAGTAACGGAAGGACAGCCCATGATAAATACAAATTATTTCAATTCAGGTAGCGTAAAATGCACAAAACCTTAATTTTATATTCAGAGACACACTAAGCTCTGTGTTGTATTGCCTTCCCATGCTCAAGACAGTTAAACAGTTAAGCTACTGTAAATCATATCCGCCCTCTCCCCACCTCATCTACCTCTGAGTTCTAATTAACACAGCATCTTACATAAGACCCAAAAGCTAAGTGACATTGTGAATACGGCTGCCAAAGTCATGAGTGATGTTTGCTGGTCCTGACTGGAGAGAAGTATGGCCACATAAATTAATAAACATTTCACGAGCCGAGTCTTGCCTCCACTTCAGCCATGAATGCTTCCAGAGGATCATCATCGCTGTCAGAGTCTGCTGATTTGGAATGAAACTGCTGGCGAGTGGGGGAATTCTCTGCGGGAATGTACGGCAATTCGACATTGCTGGAATCTTCCTCTTCATCCTCAAAGTACCTGAAAAGAAACAAAGGCCCAGTCAGCAGAGAGTCTACAGCACCTTTCACGGCTTCTGCATCAAGTTTCCCACGCAGGGATGGATAATACAAGTCAGTATGCACACAGGAAAAGATGTTGACAGCTACTTATTTCTTTACAATTATTCACGTTGTAAGCTAAACATGGTGGTAGGGCAAACAGATGTTCTGAAAGTGATCTTCTCGAGCGGCTTGTCCCAGGCTGGTGAATATACAGGATGATTTTTTGACCCTCCTACTAATCAATGCATTTATGCAGCTAATAGAAGGATTAGTGAACAAATGTGAAGTGAATGTTTCCTTGTGCAAAAGACTTGATTCTGCTTGGCTCCAATTCTGAACACACCACCTCAGGCAAAGTCTTGTTCAGACCACAGCATGAATGAGACTGAGCTGACTGAGGCTCAGCTGAGCTCTCCACGGGCTGCTGCAGAATCTCACTGTCTTTTAAATATATTTAAAGGCAAGGATGTATTATCATTCTCATTTTATAGGTGATGGGCTGCCACCCAGAGAAAGGATAAGTAATCGATCCAGGGCGACACCAGAAGTCTGCCACAAAGCAAGGATGGGAGTACCTGCTGGTGAATAGCTCAGTTTTTCTTGATACTACTGTCATAAAGCTACTGGGGTTGTTACACCACAAAGCATTGCCAGGGTATTTATCCTTGAGCAGGGTTTTCTAAATAACTAAACCTCATAAATGTCACAGATACTTCCCCTGACCTTGGAAACTTTTGAACACTAAAATCTAGAGCTAGATAAACACAAGAAATAACCCTACTTACGCATTCTCTTCATCAAAATTTGCTCGCTTTGACCCAATTTTGTAGAAAGAAGGCAGCTGAGGAGGTCCTGATTTTGCAAATGCAGCAGAAGAACCGGCTGTTCCAAAAGCACTATGAGACTGTTGAGAGAGCTTAGGCTCCTCTTTCTTTCCGGGTGTTATGGCAAATCCACCAAAACCGAAGCCTCTCTTAGTACCAGGTCCACCTTTATTCCAATTCATGATGTCCTCAGTATACCTGTTAAAATCACAAACGACAAATGAATGCCCTTCCTGCTTTAGGCAGTTACATGTAATTGTCACGATTTTTCTTTTAAGTGGACTACTTCAGTCACGATAAAGAGACTTGTGGAACTGTGAGTGACAAGGGTTTGATCTGTTTCCCAGAAAGGACTGGGCTTTGTTCTTTTCTTGTAAGGGTGAACGCATCCACAATTTGAAAAGAAGAATAAAACAAAGAGGTTGTCTTCCAACACAGATCATGTCCCTCAATGACTTCTTAAGCTATTTAAGAGGTGCCTGTCTTGTCTGTTTTGCATTCTAAGACAAACAAACCCAAGGCCAGAACTTTGAACATCAGGAGGAGCAAGAGATGAAAAGTCGATTCTACTTATTTTGCATGTCCATACAGTCCCATCCTCAAGTGTTTTGTGAATACCACACTACTGTCATCCAGACCTCTCTAGAAATGCATGCCCAAAGCAGAACACTGCCCCCTTATGAGACAAGCCACACTTCTGCCTAAAAGTCAACTCCCTCTTCTTAGGAAAGTATCTTTCGCCATATATACGTTCCCCAATCTACATCTTTCAAACCACATTTTAAATACTCCACGTAACATGCTTGCCCAGAACTCAGTTTTCTAAGTTAGGTGATGAGAATACTGAACACTAAGAAGTACACTTGCCATTCCAAGCAATTTAATTATTTTATCTGCATGGTCAAGTCAGTCGTACCTTTAAGGCAGCCCAAAAAGATTATGACACCCACTGCGTTCAAGAGCATTACAATTAGATGGCCCAAAGGCTACAAGTTTTATGAAATAAATCCTCATACTCGGTGAGAATCCTCCAACAAGATCAGAATTCACTGGCAGGAGAAACAACTTCAAAATACTCTGAAAGTAAATACTGCTACTGCTCCCTGTGCGGAACATTTACCAGCTTGGGACTTGCTCAATAAATCTCAGATCTAGACCAGAGCTCACTAGGAGACTTTGGGGAAAACTCAGTTCTCCATGGTAGCGGCCAACTCCCATGTCCTGTTCTCCCACTTGCACTGACACACCTTGCGGCTTTCACACCTGAAGATGTGTGGCAGATCAAGAGGGGCAACAAACAGACGAAAGGTTTAACTCTGCACCTCTGCTGACAGCATAGCAATCTTTCACGTTATCATATCTGATTTTAAGGATTCTTCCTCACTGTACTTACCAACTTCTTTTCCCTCCCATAACCCCCCCCCCCAAAAAAAAACCCCAAAACAACTTCTATTGTCATACAGCTGCAAAAGTACGAAATTGGGTCTCACAGAGCCCAGCAGTGAGTGTCCAGGGAGCGGGTTCCCACAGGACAGCGATGAAACGCGGTGAGACCGTAGGCTAAGTGCCGAGGTTTTGCTTCCCTGCAAACGCCGTTCCGAGGGTGGAAACGCGAAGGCACGGACACTTCCTACGGATTCCCTGGATCTGAGGGAAACGCAGCAATACACCTTAGCTGCTCCTGTTCCTGAAGAGAGTAGGGACCATCCCCCCAGCCCACCGACATCGCCCTTCCCTGGGCAGAGCCGGAAAGG